AAAGGGAGCGAGAAAGAGATCAACATATCTATGTATGTCCATAAAACATTACTTCAGTCCCCGGGAGTGTTTGTGCCGGTGCCCAAACAGGCGTCTACTGCTGGCGCACCGTACCTAAAAATAAAAAGGCCTGGTAATATGAAAGGCGTACCTTCACAAAAACATCGCTAGGTGACACGTCACATGCAATCAAGCCATAGTTCACTGAGATAGTGGTTAGGTGGGATTGGTGGGGTCCAAAATTGCCGCTTGCCAACATGTTTAACTCAGCAAACCTGTCACTTATGTCTCAGCATTGTTCTTATCTCAGCGAATATTGCCCATTAGATGTTTGCCGCCGATTTTCATCCCGTTTCATGCCTTGTACCATTGCTGCTCTGTACATGTGCCTGCTACCGCCACGCTGAGCTTATCTGTGCCGCGTCATGCCCGCTGCCAGTGCCAGCAGCTGCCGCAGCTGCTCCTCAGCCAGCCGCCCTTGCCGTTGACATTTCTCACGGCAGCGACATTCGATAAAATCTCCTGACTTTTCCCTGGCGGTACACGCACGTCCTGACCCCGCCGGGGGAGGGGGAGAGGCCATCACGTAACGGGGCGTCCCTCTCCGCGGACGTGGTCTGGGCGGCAGTACGCCGGCCTCGCGTGGTACCGCTGCCGAGGCGTGGTGGCCCGGCGCGGGTCCAGCCCGGCCGCACGCGGCAGCGCACAGGTGGAGCATGTGGACAGAAACCGGCGCGGGTCCAGCCCGGCCGCACGCGGCAGCACCCAGGTGGAGCATATGGACAGAAACCGGTGCGGGTCCAGCCCGGCCACACGCGGCAGCGCACAGGTGGAGCATGCGGACAGAAACCGGCGCGGGTCCAGCCTGGCCGCACACGGCAGCGCCCAGGTGGAGCATGTGGACAGAAACCGGTGCGGGTCCAGCCTGGCCGCACACGGCAGCGCCCAGGTGGAGCATGTGGACAGAAACCGGTGCGGGTCCAGCCCGGCCGCACGCGGCAGCGCCCAGGTGGAGCATGTGGACAGAGGCCAGGGCGGCGGGGCTACCGCATCTTTCAGTAACAAAGGAGTGATATTCGCGCTGGTCCCTGTGAGTATTGCCGACCATTACACCCGCTTGCCACATTCCCCAATCACGTGTAGATGACGGTCCACACCAAGTCTTGCTGGCTGATAACCAGTTCACAGGAAACAAGCCACCTCTCAGCAAGTTGAAATGCTAAAAGTGAGTCGGCGCGTGCACGACAGCGCCAATTCAGACACGGCAGGTCTGGCGGCGACTCCGACGTCATAAAAACGGTAGATGACGAAATCAAATGATGGCGTATTTAGGAGCACATCTACTAAAAAGAGAAGGTGTGTTATCTAGAGAAATTTTTGGAACCTTAAGAGCATACCAATAGTTACAAGTAAGCGTTTTTCATCTATCTGAGGCCTGTTTTCACATCTTCAAATGTGGAAACTTCAGACCATTACCCAAATACATGCTTACACATCCCAGTCATTTGTTCAGATTGTGTGAGCTACCTCAAAGTCAGTTGCACGATTTAACATGGTGTGACACTGACGCCACTTACCTTCGCAAAAGTGACAGATATTATGCTGGTCATTATATAACCACTCTATGCCTTGAGAATAACGATATATCTTGACCTGGAAAATACGGAATTAAGAGCGCATCACACGTCGTCAATTTGCCGCGTTTTCCAGCGTAGCCCTTTGAAGGAGGCGTCATAAGGTCGCTGGAACCACAAACATACCGGATGCAAACTCCGGCCAAAGGCACGCCTCGGTCGCGTCTTGTGAGCGAATAGTTCTCACAACGAGCACTTAGAGATGCAGGAATTGCATTGAACTCGATTCATGTTGTAAGTGGCGTTGATGGAGCCAGCAGTGACTTGGTCTCAAAACTCTCATACCATGCACCATTTTTTGTGCTGTCTTTCGCAAGCATGTATTTGCTCTCCAGCTCCCGACCCTGTTGCGATATCATACATTTGTCTCGCATCATCACTCTTCGAGGTACATCAATGTGCGGATTATCCTAACAAATAGCATTAGCAGAAGCATATGTCTCATTCCTTTGAAATGGATATCCAAGATTACAAATATTTCGATAAGTTAATTAGTATTTATACACATCCTGATTATGTGTAATAATGGACAAGTAGACGTGAAGAATATGGACATGAAGATCATAAGTGATCAGGGACGAGGGTGATCTCGTATGATAGCTCTCATACGTCAGGGTGTATAAGATGAATAGCAATGGCCAGAAGCTTCGGATTTAAGTCCGACATGTCTTAGTGATCGATGATCATTCGTTGATTAGAAAGCATGATTATTCCAACATGATTGAAATGCATGTTATCTTAACATTTCACGGATAAAAACATTTTTGCCACGGAAATGGACTACTTTCATGGTTTAACAGCAAACTACATTTTTTCATTCAGACTATCCCGATTTTAAATCGTTCAAGCAATTGTGATAGATATTGCAACACAATATACACTTGAAACGGTAGCAGTACAAGCAAGAAAAAAGAATGACACTGTAGCTTCTAGTAATCTTATTTTGCATGTTGGAAATGGGCATCAAACCTGCGCTTCATTACACGCACATAGCTTACTTCATAAACGATGTTTTCAAAGACAAAACAAATCACACAGTGTTTCACAACTTATGATCTCCTCACCAGACTCCCGCTGTCGGTCATAGCCGCCCGAGATCGACGCATCACAAGTCAAAGCTGTCTCCAGTGCAGCACATTCACGATTCTGACCCAGGTCCTTCGGCCGTACATGGCTGTCTAACAACAGACACAATGGTATTGTCTGGTTCACATTCTGTCACAATCACGCCGTCTACGTAGAATCTGACATCTAAAACCTGAGCGAAATGGCTCTGCATCTCTCCACCCAGCTCCCTCTCACCTAGCTCCGTCTCTCACGCCACTTCTTCCGTCGTGGTCCCGGGCCGAGTGTGTGTTCACGAAAGTGGAAATGCATTCGCGGTAGTAAACAGGGAATGTGTTCATGGTGTTGAATCCAAGCGTCCATGACGCTTGATAGTGCTTTCTCGGCGCTGCGAACGTGCACATTGGACCACAGCCCGGAAAGCCATAAGCTGTCTCCATTGTAATAGCTGGCGTCACTATTGATGCGTACTGATTCACGCAACCCACATTAAGGTACCGTGTGCAATAGGCATGGGCACACGACACGCACAAAGCACAACGCATACAATATAGACTATCCCCAGGCTCGGACGATTAGCGTTGTAAATAATCTATCAAATTCACACACTGCACGTCATGCCGTACACATTTTTCTGTCGTGTCACAAACCAAATTAAGCCTACGAAACATCCAAGCTCAAGTTGTCTACTTGACATGGACTCGAGTATCAGCCAGGGTTATCGGAGCGGTGTGCGTCTGCGCAGAACAAGCCCTTGTGCTTGGTTATGTGTTTGGTCTTCTTGTGAACGCATCTCCACTCCTCTGAAAGCTTGCGCTGCTGGAGTGGAAACCCAGTCGAGACTCCCCTGCAAGCGGCGACGGTGGACGTTAACGCCACGTCACGGCAATACGTGTCCAGCTTAGAGGACCGACACTTCCAAATGATCTTTGGCTCAAAATCAGATGCTTTTCAAAGTTGAGGAGACGCCTAAGCTAACGAGAAATCTAACGAAGAAAAGCATTACACACAACAAAAGACCGGATGGAGGGCGCACAGGTCTGAAACACGGTTTTTGATTATTATTATATCCATTGTGCTCTGAACTCCGTTATTATATAAGCACAATTCATCACTGCAGTCTATGGGGGTGTCAAAATCTTCTACCTCCATTCAATACTGAATGTGGCTTGCGCTGACTGCGATCGGTCTGCATTGCCCTGTCTGATTTTAAGACCGATTTGCGGGCGGCGGCGCAGCGTCTAGTGGTGCGGATGCATTCGGGCAAAAGTTCGCCCGATGAGAAATCAGATTTATCAGTAGAAACTACTCGATTCCGTTCGCTTAACATATCCGCGGCGTACGCTGTCACCCTAAGGCGCAAGAAGGCTAAAATGGTTGATTATTTGTGCGACAGTAGATATGACAGTGATACGCGCGCGTGCCTTTTTCGCTGTGCGGACAGTGAAGTCTCGTCGGCAGCGATGTGCTGCGGCCGAAGCAGGAGTGCCGCATAGCGAGATGAAAATGGAACGACTTTCCACTAACACAAAGGAGCCCAACCAACTGATTAACTGACCCAGAGAAATGGAAAGGCACCCAAATGAACCAGGAACAGAATGGATTGCTGAGCACAATGTGCAGCAGACTGTTGGCATAGCCACGTCTTGGGAATGCGGGAGCAGGGAGATAAATGGCGAACTAGAATAGATCTTACCCGAGCAGTGTCTTATATTGGAAAGAACGCAATAATTGCTCATGTCACATTTATTGCTGGGGGACAGAAGGACATTTGGACAAAATTTGCGGGAATATGCACCGGTGGCTACACGCATGAAATGAAACGTAACTTTCCACTAGCCCCGAGGAACAGGACATGTCCATAGGTACCCAGTGTACTGGAAGTTTATCTGCCTGCTCCTTCGTAATGATGCAGGTCTCTCCTTGCCCTGTGTAGCGTCCCGTCCCAGCTACTGACCCTGCGTAGCGTTCCTTCCTCTGCCACTGACCCTGTGAAACGGAGCGTCCCGAGCCCTGTCACTGACTGAGGAACGGGGCGGCTCGTACTCTGTCACTGACTGAGGAACGGAGCGGCTCGTACCCTATCACTGACTGAGGAACGAAGCGAGCCATCCTCAGCCACTGACCGAGGAACACGTCCCTGGCCGGCCACTGACCATGAACGGAGCGTCGCGGCGGCCGGAGCGGTGCCAGGGGCGTGCCCAGCCGGGCGGGAGCGGCGGACTCCGGCCGCCGCGGCTGGGTCATCAGGACGCGGTCGGGCGGCGTCGGCCTGGCGGCACACGGGGGAGGCTCAACACGTCACCCCTCCTGGCGGCCCCCGGCCAGCGCCACACCCAGCCGGCCTGGCGGCACACAGGGGACGGCTCAACACGTCACCCCTCCTGGCGGCCCCGGCCAGCGCCACATCCAGCTGGCCTGGCGGCACACAGGGGACGGCTCAACACGTCACCCCTCCTGGCGGCCCCGGCCAGCGCCACATCCAGCTGGCCTGGCGGCACACAGGGGACGGCTCAACACGTCACCCCTCCTGGCGGCCCCGGCCAGCGCCACATCCAGCTGGCCTGGGGCACACAGGGGACGGCTCAACACGTCACCCCCCTGGCTGACTGGAACGGCCCCCGGCCAGCGCCACACCCGGCCGGCCTGGCGGCACACAGCGGGAGGCTCAACACGTCACCCCTCCTGGCTGACTGGGACGGTCCCCGGCCAGCACCACACCCGGCCAGCCTGGCGGCACACAGGGGAGGTTCAACACGTCACCCCTCCTGGCTGACTGGGACGGTCCCCGGCCAGCGCCACACCCAGCCGGCCTGGCGGCACACAGGGGACAGCTCAACACGTCAACCCTCCCTGGCCGGCTGGCCAGAGGTGTGACGGCCGCTAGCCAGCGCCACACCCGGCCGGCCGCTTCCGTGTCATGTCACAAACTATGCGATATGAGCCAGCGTGCGTTTGGTAGCCGAGTGTTATGTATCTGCTGTCCGGTATATTAAGCTGTTGTTTGTGCCCCTGCAGTCCGCTCCTAGTGCTCGTGCGATTGTTGCAAACACGATTTGAACTTAGTGGTATATTGGCTTCATGGTTATCGTAATCATGGGCGCAGCACATGTCAGCTAACATTTTACACGAGGACGACCTCTCGCCCTGGATGCGGAACGCCAAATAACTAAGAATGAAATGTTGATTGTGTCGTCATCTGGAACTTTCAGATTTCTCAGATCATTAACCGCTTTTCGGTATACGAGCTGGTCTCTCACATCTGGGCAGTTATCTGCCTTCCGGTGTCATTTCCGCAAATATCAGTGCCTTGGTTCTGTGGTAGATCCGCTACTGCATTTTTATTCACGGTAGTGAAACTCTATCAACCGCTCTGTGATTCGACAAGTCATCATCTACGCGATTAAAATCAGAATGGAGCACCACGAGCTTGATCATGTTTTCCATCCGCTAGAGAAGTTGGACAGCTCCCTTGAGAGTCCCGGCAGGGTGATGGAGCGCACGACCTTGGGTAACCAGGGATGCCAGCTCGCGAGCTCTGGCTAATCTCTCGTGCTCGAGAGCACAACGGCAGAGAGCACGTCTTCCCTCACGTTCTCAAGTCCGTGCTGCGAGGGGAGACGGCTCCTTTGTTGATGAGCTTGGCTAAGAGTAGTGTCCCCGTTTCAGACCTGTCGCGCCTCCCCGTGACCCGGTCGGTGCGCTGTCCCCTGACCTGCTACGGTCCCCGTGGCTCGGTCGGTGCGCCGACCCCTGACCTGCTACGGCTCCCCGTGGCTCGGTCGGTGCGCCGATCATTGACCTGCTGGGGCATTCCGTAACCCGACCGGTGCGCGACCGACTCCTGACCTGCTACGGCTCCCCGTGGCCCGGTCGGTGCGCCGACCCCTGACCTGCTACGGCTCCCCGTGGCCCGGTCGGTGCGCCGATCATTGACCTGCCGGGGCATTCCGCAACCCGACCGGTGCGCGACCGACCCATGACCTGCTACGGCTCCCCGTGGCTCGGTCGGTGCGCCGATCACTGACCTGCCGCGGCATTCCGTAACCCGACCGGTGCGCGACCGACTCCTGACCTGCCGCGGCCCCTCGTGGCGCGGTTTAGCCGTGCACTGAGGCGCCACCTATTACGGATCCCGCGCTCACTGTGTTGTGTTGTGTCTACCTATAAGAGGTTGCATGTGGGTGCGAGATATTGTGCGTGTGTGTGTGTTGGCTTTTTGTTGCATCTGACATTTTAAAGGCTAAATTGTAAGTATTTGTTCAAAGGTTTTGAATGAATGCATTGAGCAATACATTGGACTATGTCAAGTGTGTATCACTTATAAAGCGACGAACTGAGTCACCAATTTGTGAACGGATCAGTACATTGGACAATTTCAAGTGTATATCACCTATGCAGCGACGAACTGTGAGTCACCAATTCGTGAACGGATCAATACATTGGACTATATCAATTGTATATCACTTATACAGCGACAAACCGTGAGTCACCAATTCCTAAACGGATCAGTACATTGGACTATGTCAAGTATATATCACCTATACAGCGACGAACTGTGAGTCGCCACTTCGTAAACGGATCAATACGTTGGACTATGTCAAGTGTATATCCCTTACACAGCGACGAACTGTGAATCACCAATCCGTGAACGGATCAATACGTTGGATATTGATCCGTTCACGTCAAGTGTACATCCCTTACACAGCGACGAACTGTTATAGTCACCAATTCGTGGACGGATCCATACATCGGACTATGTCAAGTGAGCATGACATCACTGCAGTTGTAACTGCCTCCGGTATCCCCAGCCCCACTCCATTCCTGACCGTCCCTCCCATGCCCACAACACAGACACCGACCTCGTCTGGGGCTGAGGCAGCGGACTGAGGGAGGCGCTTTGGGAGGACTTCTGCACGGGCTTAGCCGGCCCGTGAACGTCTCGTCAACTGTCGATGCTGCAGCAGAGGACAGCTCTTTAATGACTGCTGTGACAACAGAGGGCGTTCCGTCAACAGGCAACGCTGCGACGAAGATCGCATCGCAGACGATTCATCCATTGGAAAAGGTCATGACCCTTATCGCTGGCGCAGGACAAAGAAGGCATCGAAAACGGCTGCCACTGTTACAAAGAACGCCTTTTAGAAATCAATTCTGTGTGAGGACATCTCGGCGAATGTTTATATTCCCATAAAGGGTGCCACGCCACCGGTGTACGCATCGCAACGAGTGCCAGTATGTGGTTTTAGCGCATTAGGTACGACTTCGTAGTCAAGCAAGAGCTGCGCAAGTGTACCCACAAGTGCGCTGCCCTTTATCACCAGTGTGGCACCTGGAAGTTTGTTTTACCCAAATGTCAATTGTGGTGGTTTAAATTGGGTCTGAACGGCCGCGTGGGAGTGCACGAATGATACATCAAATAACTTGAAACTGATGGTGAAATTGGGCACAAACGCGTTGAAATAATCATCTTCAGCGGTTGTCACCAATCAGTCGGTCGGCGGAGTAAGACGATGGTAGACGCTGGCATGCTCCACTACGCATCCTGCTTCCACAGCTACACGGACTTGACTTGACCCAATGAGGCTGAGCGCCAGGCTGTGACGAGCCCCATCAATTTGAACGCGCAGCTAAGTCTCATACACGTTAAAAACAGACAACTGCCGTGTTTGGGATCGGTGCTGACACTGCCGTGTTTGGGATCGGTGCTGACACTGCCGTGTTTGGGATCGGTGCTGACACTGCCGTGTCTGGGATCGGTGCTGACACTGCCGTGTTTGGGATCGGTGCTGACACTGCCGTGTTTGGGATCGGTGCTGACGTTGACAACTGCCGTGTTTGGGATCGGTGCTGACACTGCCGTGTCTGGGATCGGTGCTGACGTCGATCGTCACCCGAAGAGACGAGGGGAGGGGGGAGGGGGGAGCCGTGTTTGGGATCGGTGCTGACACTGCCGTGTTTGGGATCGGTGCTGACGTTGATCGTCACCCGAAGAGACGAGGGGAGGGGGGGGGGGGAGGGGGTTTACTGCCATTTTACTGGCGTCATTAATTGTGTTACCTTTTTGAAGCGGAAGCGACCGTTGTGTCTGCAGTATATCCTGCAAGCACTGGTCCATCACCTCGTCCCTCTCTTTTGACGCGAGCGGACGCAGGTTCGATCTTGGTACGACCTCCTGAAACAGAGTCCGGTTTCCACTCAAAGGACCATGAGCGCGCAAAGTGCGGCTGCCCACTTCAACGAGCGTGCTCGAACATTGGCCTTTTTGCTGCGGCACCGAAAGGCCGAATCACCTTTCGCCTCTGTGATGGCGTTTTAAGCAGTGGGAGTTGGACGAGGATGCAGCCTTATCAGGCAAGAGGGAACATGACGCAAGCCACAAAAGAAAATGTGATGTTGGTGGATGAAATCATTCCTGAATATCTTAACCAATTTGTCAGTACTGCCACCTGGATATGTTCAGTACAATTAACGGTTTAGGCAAGCTTTAGATGCTCTAGTGTTAAGCAACACCGTAAATGCACAGACGGACATGACAGTGATCAACATCTTTATCTGTATAAATGCCGTTGTGAATAACTGAACTACTCGAGATAGAACATTGAAAGCATGCGCTCCCCTATTGGAGAGGTTATATCTGGCCCGCTACCTGAATGCCGTGTGCCATTCCTTCGAATCGCTGACTGAGCGACCGCCTAATATATCAGATACCTGGTACAAGCACGTGTGGCTCATAAAAGAATATGAGCCTGATATTGATCGGCCACAACCGGACTTTGATGGGCATTCCAGTAACTGGCTACGACAGGCTGGCATAACTTTCTTCGCCGGCAACTGGCTGGGAACGCTTAGCGTCATGTTGGCCGAACGACATCAGGTCTCCAGACGGTTATGCTTCCAGGTCGTGATAGCGCTACAATAAGACACAAAACAGAATGTAACATCAGACATAAAGACTCATATCATGGACTTGACTTCCTTTCCAGTTAAAAGCGTTGCCGAACATATCCGCATTAAATTTTCCCATCACAGTTGTGGCCGCCTCTCCCCTCAAATGTTTTGAACCCGTACGCGCTGGCCAGTCCCCGCTCAACTGTGAACCACAGCATTACCAGCTCCCGCTCGAGCAGCGTCCGCAGCTCCCGCTCGCGCAACGTCCGCACCTCCCGCCCGCGCAACGTCCGCAGCTCCCGCCCGCGCAGCGTCCGCAGCTCCCGCTCGCGCCGCGTCAGCAGCTCCCGCCCGCGCAGCGTCCGCAGCTCCCGCCCGTGCAGCGTCCGCAGCTCCCGCCCGCGCAGCGTCCGCAGCTCCCGCCCGCGCAGCGCCAGCAGCTCCCACCCGCGCAGTGTCCGCAGCTCCCGCCCGCACAGCGTCCGCAGCTCCCGCTCGCGCCGCGTCAGCAGCTCCCGCTCGCGCAGCGTCAGCAGCTCCCGCTCGCGCAGCGTCAGCAGCTCCCGCTCGCGCAGCGTCCGCAGCTCCCGCCCGCGCAGCGTCAGCAGCTCCCGCTCGCGCAGCGTCAGCAGCTCCCGCCCGCGCAGCGTCCGTAGCTCCCGCCCGCGCAGCGTCTGCAACTCCAGCTCGCGCCGCGTCAGCAGCTCCCGCCCGCGCTGCGTCCGCAGCTCCCGCTCGCGCAGCTCCCGCAGCTCCCGCCCGCGCAGCGTCCGCAGCTCCCGTTCGCCCAGCTCCCGCAGCTCCCGCTCGCGCCGCGTCAGCAGCTCCCGCCCGCGCAGCATGCGGCTGTCCGTAGCGTCGTGTCGGCCCGTACCACAATCCGCGCCGACTCGTGTATGTCGCCGAAGTCGAACTTGATCGAACGGGGCCAGGCGATGGGCGGCGGACTGCGAACCAGGTGCGAGTGGATCTCGGCCAGCGCCAGCTCCTTGTTACACGCCGGGTCCTGCGGGCGCAGCGAGTCACGGCGTCACGCTCGCTCCGGCGCGTCACGCTGCGGGTATGCGTGACGATGTCCCAGGAATGCGATGGCGTGTCCTTATCGTTGGTCAGCGCTGAGCCGAGTGAAGTGCACAGACAAAATGGCGGCGCCATGTCAATACTATTGTCTCAGAATGGCCATTTCACCGCATCGAACAGCAAACATGATCTTACGAGAAGAAGTTGCCGAGCGGAAGTTTGGGGTATCGACATCACGCTGCTCTAACAAAGGCACTCAATCCATAGTTTTCTGTCCCTTCGATCCACTGCAGCAGACTGCGACGACCAACCAACCGCTGGTTGCTCGTCTGCAATCCTGTTGCCATTCGTATAAACATTCAAGCCAACATTTCAGGTTCAGCTGTTCCGCTGACGACAGTTTTAGCACTGATAGGCACTTCGATCCCTATAAACGAGCTTTCATCACCCATCCGTGCCAAAAGAGCGCAAAAGCGGACCAAACAGCCGGACCCTCAGTCCTATACAACAACGCGTCCAGACCAGCGGTGGGCCCCGGACGGGGTCCCGTGCCTGCACTGACCTGGACCACCAGCTGGCTGTCGTCGGTCTGATCCTCGTCTGGCAGCTCCTCTCGGCTGCTGTGCAGTCGCTGCAGGAACGGGTTGTCCTGGCGCGACATCTGCAGCCGCTGCAGGTCCTGGCGCGTTAAAGGAGGCGTGTTAGTGGGTCAGCGCGAGCTAGCGTCGTCACAGCGGGGCGCAGTTACAATGAAAAGAAAAGACCCTCTTTAAAATATCAAAATATCACGGGACTTGTGACGTCATATGATGTCACCCTGAGTAGAAATGAACGACCGCCCAAGGTGGGCTATAAAAGTATTTCGCGTCCGAGGTGGGCCAGGGAAACGGCACACACTGAGGGGTTCATTATTTCGGTGACGTCACGCCCATTGTGCATGTCATAACCAGCCAGCCAGTCGCCATGTGTTGATCACGCTACCCGGCGCGGCGCCGTGTCTACACGTGCGGGCCGAGACTCTCCAGCCATGCGCCGTGTGTTTGCCATGACTTGTCAACATAGCGCCAGGCGCTGGCCATGACCTGCCAGCCCCCCCCCCCCCCCCAGTCGCGGCAGGGGTGGTGCCCTTAGCGCCACACCTGCTCGATGTTGACGATCGGTTCCGGGCCAGGTGCGGCGTCATCGCTGACCGCGCCAGCCTCGCGCGGCGACGGCGGCTCTGAAACAGGCCGATCGATCTGACACAGTGCCTCTCAATAGCGGCCCCCGTGAGGCGGCGGCTCAGCGACACGTCCGGAGGCAGAGCGATGGCGGGGCGTCGGGGGAGCAAACACGCCGCCAGTGGTGCTTTGTTGTCTGATGGGCGGAGACGGGCTTTGGACACAGTCGGGATCGCATACAAATCGTGCATAAGCGATAAATGACACAGCTCTACCAGCTATAGCGCAGCATACCGATGCTATACCTTTCCATGACGGGTGGGTAAACTAAAAAAGATGGTAATAGGGATAACCAGATTTTTTGCAACCTTATTTGCTCCTAAAACCACTTAGAACGGTTATTTAAATGGGAGTATTTACCGCTCGAACCAATGAAAACTATTGGCGATATTGCAACGTTTACAAAACTTCACGCTGACGTCGCCAACACCCAAAGGCTTGCAGTGTTTTTTATGATGCACAAGGTTACCAATGTAAGAGAACCTTGTTTAAAAGCATCGCTTTCCTTGTATCAGCTTAATGCTACGGCAAACAGTTTTGCATAATTGTCCCAGACCAAAGAGCGAAGTCCTTCCTGGTAAAACGAATAATACAGGGCCTTCCAGGAAAAGTGGACCGGTTTGAGTCATTCATAGTTTAGGTATTGATTTGATTTGTAACACAAATGCTGCACCAATGTAAACAACATTCGTTGCTGTTTGCATCTGACCACTGGGCTCACCATGTCTTTCTTAGCTTGGACGGAGCAGCACGTGCTCCATGTGGCCCCCAGTTCGCTCCAGATACTGCACCGGCCGATCTTTCGCTGCTTAAACAACGGCATGAAACGTCGATGCCTTTTTGGCCTTCACAACCATCATTATACATTGCTTAGGCCCAGGAAGATATGCATGCTGTATGAGTGCATCTCTGACTTCAAATGCCCACACAGGAAGAAACGTGGACTCAAATCGAGTGAGTGCACTGGCCGGTTGCCTGGCTTCTTCAATAAGATATGTCTTGGTCCAAACCACTCTGGGCCACGATCTCGTTCCACCGTCAGGTGTGTCGTCGTGTCATATTGCGGAAGTCGCTGACGTGGCATGTCTTCGCCGCAGGCTTAGTGCAGAGCCGCCCAAAATTTGTAAGGCACGGCTAAGTACCGTTTAGCCATTGTGGTCACTACAGTCCCTCGCTGTCCTGAGACAAGCAGACGCCACTGACGCCACAACTGTTTATGCGCCACGCGGTGCACTTTTCTCTGTGCGGGAGTACTTTGAGAACCTCACCGGGAGGCCCGGTAGATCAAAACGGAGGTTTTCGCTGTTTTTACCGCCTACATGAAAGTGCGCAACATCGCTAAATCTCGTTGGTGGAGCTAGAGTTGACTTCGCACGGTCGAAGGAAGGAGGCAGTGCTGCACACGAGCGCGTTATAGCCGGTTGGTAAGGGCTTCTAATGTTATCTTACTTTGCATGGTAAAAGACTGAGCTATGACCCGGCCAGCCTCAACAACGTAGCACTGTTACAGCCTATTCCTGGCTATTAACCTATTCCTGCTGGATTAATCTATAGGTGCTTCGCAGCGAGACCTGTCTTGCTTTTACAATCTCCACCAGAGTTATTTTGGCTCCTTTCCTAGGGCTGACTTTACTTACCAGGTTTTCAAGACTACACTTTTTGGTAAAGGTTTGCACGTGACGCTGAATTGCATGTATTGATAGTGTTTCTTGTGTTTTAAACCACCAACTTTGTCTGAACGTCTGTGTTTTTTTCTTTTTGCTTTCTTGTAATGCGATCTTTTTTCTTCCAGTCATGACGACTGATTTTCTTTCGAGGTACCATTTCAGTATCTTTGCTCTCTCGTCTACTGTGTATGGTGACAGGGTCTCTCGATAATGGTTTGAGCATGGAAAAATTGAGGTTAAGATGACTTTCAGACATGTCATGTAGATTGTATTGTAATCCCTAAGAGGATCGCCATTCCAAGAGAAAATGCGGCCTTTTTCCCAGAACTTCCGGTACTTGATAAATCAGCAAAATACCGGCCCTCTTTGCTGCATACTTAACGCAAAAACAACTTTATTTTAGGTCGTTCCAACTCCTTTACTGTGTTTTAGTCCCACTTAATTTTGTTATGTGCCATGCACCTCGCGTTTGCATCCTGCCACATGTTTCTGAGGTGTGCTCAACGCGCTTAAAAAGTCTACGTAAAGATACCATAAATCAGATCCTAGGTCTCTAACGTGCAATCCAGGACCTGCCGAGCTCTCTGCCTGATTTTTGTACACACGGAACAGCCTTGAACTTGTTTTCAGTAGCATTCAAAACCAAAACGTTGGGACTGCAAAAAATCAGCCATTAGTAGTCTGTTGGCGTTGTTCTGGTGACCCTTGCTGTTTTTAGGCTACCTAAAACGGTTACTGAACGTAGTTTGGGGCACAAAATCGGAGGGACTCGTCCGAGACCATCGCCTACGCCAATTACAAGCTACCCCGGCTGTTACTGAGCTCCGTCCGGCAAACTTGGCAACTCATTGGATAATAGTAAAGGCAGTCTTGACACCATTCCAGCCTTTGGCGCTGGCACAGGGTACATGTGGTACAAAGCAAACGTTCTGTCCCAGTATGTGCCATAAACACTCAACTGGGCGACAGCACATTCTTGGTACAGCCTGCCCACCACTGACGTAATTGGGCCGCTGTTCGTGACAGACATGCGTAAATGACCAATGTAGAACATTATGGGAGTTAACGTGACCGCCATGATGTGAATGCGATATAGGCCAGCGGCGTCAATCGTCCACGAATACGAATGACCGAATT